TGGATCCAGGTTCAGAAGAGGCTCCAGGAGCAGAGAGAGGTCAGGCAGTGGGAGCAGACACCTATAAGCCTGCAGGGATGGGTCGGGGGTGCTACTTTCTGGGGCCACCGAGGGTGCAGGCTGCGGAGATGCCCAGGTCCTGCACCTGGGAGGGCAGCCAAAGCTGTACCTGGGAGCTCCCACCCGCTGACTTGGAAGGGGCAGGGCTCCTGCTTGTTCCCTGCTCCTGACTGTTTCCTGGAGCAGGAGGCCCAGGTCTGCAGCCATGGGTGCCATAGCTGCAGCTGCAGCTGCACCTGGGAAGGCAGATTCTACCTGTTGCCGGCTCCCCTCAGAGCACAGGGAGTCTGGGATCCACAGTTGCAGTTTGGGGACTGCTTGCTCCATAGAGCAGGAGGCCTGGGTCTGCAGCTGCGGTTTGGGTGGCTGCAGTGGCCTGGGGAGCTCTAGTCTTAACTCAGAAGGGGCAGGGCTCCCACTGGCTCCAGGGGTGTGCAGCACCAGCTGTGCTTCCCTGCTGCAGTTGGTATGATGTCAGCAGCCACTGCCATCAATACCACTATGTTGCCTAGCCTAGTCTTGAACTCCTTGTCTTAAGGAATCCTTCTGCCTTGCCTCCCAAAGTGTTGGGATTACAGGCATGAGCCACCCTGCCCAGCCCAACATTACATATTTCAATGAAAACTGAGAAATTTTGCCACAAGTAAACCCATTCTAAAAAAAAAAAGAAACAAAAATGTTAAAAGAAATTATTCAGCCTGATGGGAATGATATCAAATGACTTTTGAAGAAGAAAGAAAACATATATTTATCTGCATATGTACCATTTTCATTGTTCATAATGCTTCTTACAAACCAACCTGACCAACATGATGAAACTCTGCCTCTACTAAAAATACAAAAGTTAACTGGGCATGGTGGTGCCTGCCTGTAGTCCCAGCTATTCAGGAGGCTAAGGCAGGAGAATTGCTTGAACCCAGGAGACAGAGATTGCAGTGAGCCGAGATCATGCCACTGCACTCCAGCTCAAAAAAAAAACACAAAACAGTATATGATAGTGTTTATAACAGAGGCAGAAGTAAAATGTATGACATAGAAACAATATAAATAGAACTGCATGTGAACTTGTATAATATTAATTCAAGGTATGTTGTGATGTTAAGGATGAATATTGTAAATCCTAGAGCAACTAAAAGTAATAATACAAAGAAGTATAAATCGAAAGTCAATGGAGAAAACAGAATGAACTACTAAAACAATATTCAATTAACCCAAAAAGAGTCAGAAAAGAAATAACAAAAGAAATAAAAATGGGGACAAATAGGAAACAAAGAACAACATGATAACTCCAACCCAACTATATCAAGAATTACATTAAGCCTAAATAGATCAAACCCTCCAATGAAAAGGCAGAGATTGTCAGACCGGATAAAATACAACACTCAAATAGACGTACCTTAAAAACACATTCAAAAAGAGATATATCTTAAATATATAAAGATTCTGACAGTTAAAAGGATGAAAACAAAAGAAAAGATGAGAAAAGATAAATAGGAGAATAAAGCTGTCATGAAAAGTAAACTTCAAGACAAAGACATTGCATGAGATTGCATTCACGATGATAACAGGATCAAGTCATCAGGAAGATGTAGCAATCCTAATTATGTATACGCCTTATAAGTTTCAGAAATACCCAAAGCAAAAATTGAGAAAACTAAAGGGAGAGACAGACAAACCCATAGTCATGGTTAGAAATTTTGACACTCCTCTCTCATAAATTGATGAATAAATAGACCAAAAAATTAGTAAAGATATAGAAGATCCAAGCCACACTATTAAACAATTAAACCAAATTGCCTTTTATAAAACAGTATACCAACAGTTACAGAATGCGTATAGTTTTCAAGTGCACATGGAGCATTCAGCAAGATTGAACATTGATCAATTTTTATGGCTGAGTATCATAAAAATATCCCAATAAATGTTAAAGAAATGAAACCATCGGGAGTATGTTTCTGACCAAAGCATAATGAAATTAGAAATTACTAACAATAAGGAAAAATAGAATACAAATTACCAATAATCAGGCATGAAAAGATGTAACTATAGATCCTACAGACATTAAAAAATGATGAGAATATTACATACAACTTTTTGGCAGCAAATTTAAAAATCTAGATGAAACAAACAAATTCCTTGGGAAAAAAAAACACAACTTACCAAAACTAGCACAAGAATAAAAATAGAAAATCTGAATGTCTCTATATCTATTAAAGGAATTGAATTCATAATTAAAAATCACACACGTACACACAATCACCAGGTCCAGATGGCTTCACTGGCAAATTCTATCAAACATTTAAGTTAAAATGGTACCAAGTCTATACAAATTCAGAAAATAGAGAAAGAGGAAACACTTCATAACTCCTTTTATGAGGCCAGCATACTTCTAATACCAAAACTTAACAAGGAGATTATAAGGAAAGTAAATGAAATATGTCTCTTAAACATAGATGCAGAAAAAACTCCACAAATTCAATAGAGCAATATATAAGGAAGATAATATATTATGACTAAGTGGAGTTTATCCCAGGAATGTAAGATGGGTTCAACATGGACAGATCAATCAATACCATTCGCTATGTTAATTGAATGAAGAAAAAAAATTATGTGGGCATCTCAATAGAAGTAGAAAACGTACTTGCCAAAATATAGTATCCATTGATGATAAAAACTCTCCGCAAATGAAAAATAAGACAGAATTTCCTCAATCTGACAAGCGCATCTAAGAAAAATATGTCTAATATATTATGGTAAAATAATGAATGCTCTTTCCTAAGATCAGGAACAATTCAAGATATCTTCTCTCTCCAGTTTTTTTCCAACATGATTCTGGAGTTTCTAGCCAATACAGCAAGGCAGTAATAAAGAATGAACTACTGATACATGCAAAACCATGAATGAGTCTCAAAAACATTATGCTGAGAAAAAGAAGCCAGACACAAAAAGATGCGTACTGTCTGATTCTATTTATATACAATACTAACACAAGCAAACCTAGTTTATAACAACAGAAAGCAGATTGGGGGTTGCCTGAGGGTTGGTGAGGAGAGAGTGACTGCGAATAGGAAATTCTGGGGGTTCATGAAAAGACTCTGTATCTGATTAGGGTAGTTACTACAAGGGTGTTATACACTTGTAAAAATTTATTAAATTGTACATTAAAATTGATGCATTTTATTGTATATCAATTATATCTTCTGTTTTGATTTTTTTAAATGGATACCATTAAGAAAATGAAAAGGTAAGCCACAGACTATAGGTGATATAGACAAAATATTTACAATACAGGTATCTGACAAAGGACTTGAGGCCAGCAATATACAAACAACTCTTACAACCCCAAAGTAAAGGTTAAAAAAAATAATTTTTAATGGACAAAAACCTTGAGCAGACATTTCACAAAGGATTAGATACAAAGGGCCAATAAACACATAAAATTGTGCTCAAAATCATCCATCAGGGAACTGCAAATACAAATGAGACGCAACTATATACCTATAAAAACGGCTAAAATCAAAAAGGTGGATGAAGCCAAGATTTGGCATGCATGTGGAGTAACGAGAATTCTCAGACACTACTGGTGGGACTATAAAATAGAAAGACCACTTTGGATAACAGTTGGGCGGTTTCTTACCAAGTTGTGCCTATACCTACCTGACGAACCAGCTATTCCACTGCTAGCCATTTACTCAGGAAAAACGAAAACGTATGTCCACAAAATGACTTATGCACACATATTCATAGGAGTTTTTTCATGATTATCAAAAACTGGAAAGAATCCAAATGCCCATCATCAGGTGAATGGATAAACACAGTGCAGTGTCGTCATACATAATGCTGGAAAACTATTCAGCAATAAAAAGGAGAAAACTCCTGGTGCAAACGACCATGTAGATGAACCTCAAAAATATGATGTTGAGTGAAAGAAGCTAGTGCCAAAAGAACACACAATGTAAGCTTTCATTTATATGAAGCTTGAGAACAGGCAAAGGCAACGTATGATGCAAGAATTCATAACTGTGTTTACCTGGGTAGGTAGGGGACTGATTGGACAGGGACAGAAACGAACTTTCTAGGGTGATTTAAAATGTGGTCTACCTTGGTTAGTGTGCTGGTTACATGGGCATACACATTTGTTAAAATATATTGAACAGTGTACTTATTATTTGTACATTCTATTGTGTTTTTATTCTTTAATCTTAAAAAATAAATATAAAGGACTTAACACATAGAAAATGTTCAACCACCATAATTCCCTCATCCTTCACCCTTTCCATTCCCACTAAGCAAGTACCATAGATGCTAGGAGAACAATTTATGATCACTGAACCTCTGAGAATAGGAGTGTAATTTTCTTCAAAGGGAGAAGGTGCCCTCTACAGCATGGCCTGGAAGAGTCTCCCTAGTCCAGGCCCAGAACTATAAATAACAAGGGTAGTGCCTAGAGTGATTTCATTCTGAGTCTTCCTCCGGGTCTAGGTTATTCTGAGTTTTGTCCTCCAAGTCTAGGTCTGCGCTTCCAACATCTCAAACCAAGAGAGTGGAATTTAGTTGGGTCTTTCCAAGAGATGCGAGATGACAAAATGTGGGAGTGGGTAAGAGACTCTGAGGGGAACCGCATTTATAGGAAGGCTATAAAAGACAAATTAGGGCTGGGCGTGATGGTGCACACCTGTAGTCCCAGCTACCAGAGAGGCCGAGACAGGGGGATCACTTGAGCCCAGGGGTTCAAAGCCAGCCTGGGCAACACAGTGAAACTTTGTCCCTAAGAAAAAAAAAATTAAGGTAAGTTAAGAAAACTAGTATTGGAGCCAGATGTTGAAGGTCTATAAAGTTGACGGTATGTAAATGCTCAATAATTATTTGTTGATTAAGTAAATGAACCAGCCACTGAGTCTGCGGAGGCTGACTGCCGCCCCCTCCTTCCTATCTTGCAGCTCACATACCTGCCCCCGCCGTGGGGTGAGTGCCGATCCTCAGAGATGGGCCTCGACTTTTTTCCTGTTTACAGTATCACCGCCTGTAGGATTGACTGTGAGACCCGCTACATCGTGGAAAACTGCAACTGCCGCATGGTCCACATGCCAGGTCAGTGCCAGAGCAGGGCGGCCACAGGGCCCTGGGACCTGACTGGGACCCGCCTTGCATTTCACGTCCTAATGAGAAACACTTCACCCACTTCACTAGCACCCAAAAGGGTGATATTCTGCGAAGACTCTGTGATTTGGTGCCTAAACATTTAGAGGGCAGGTAGAAATTCTAGTCCAGCAACCAAAGCAGCATCCTGGTGTCCAGGAGCATCCAGTGTTTGGGGAATGCTCATCCCAGTGTTCAATGTTTGCCAATTGTCTGCTGCTCTTACCTCTGAGAGTATAGTGTCCAGATAACTGGATGCTTGCAATTCTTGCATCTCATGTAGTACATGTTTGAGCATCCAGATGTTTGTTGCTTTCATCCAAATGTCTAGCACTCCTTCAAATGAGGCAAAGTTCTATTAGTCAGCAAATAAGTGTGCATGTAATGACACCTCTGTTGTCAGACTAACCATGCCATGTGGCCATCTCATTTAGTTGGCGCATCAGAGGCTGAAGTGCAGAATGGAAAGCTGATCTGGGGAGGAAGAGCGTGGTGTGGTAGCAAGGAAGCACGAGTGGGGCCTTGGTTTCTAATTCAGGCTCTTCCACTCATTTACTGTGAGACATGGTGACTAAACCTCTCTGTTCTCACTTTTACAATCTTTAAGACAAAATCATTAGTTGTTATAAGGTGAAAATTAGGCTAGCATATGAAAATGCTTTGTAAACTATAAAAGTCAGTGGTTGTTATTTAGCATATTGGAAGAGGAAGCCAAAAGTCATGTTGACTGAAGACCTACTATGTGCCAGGAATGTTGCTATTATATTTAGTGGCTGTTATTTCATGCTTATATCATACTTCATTCAATTTTATTCAAACTAAATCCTTATACTGGACATTCGCTTCATTACCAATTGTTAGTTCTGTTATAGCCCATGCTGAAATGAACATCCTCACTGCTACATTCTGAATTATTTCATTCTTTATCAGCAATTTCTGCAGTAATCTAAGATTTAAATTACTGATCTTTAAAATTGCCTCTGTCACAAGGGACTTTGCCAAAATGATTAAGGTTACCAGCTTTAAAGTGGGGAGATTATCTAGGTGGGCCCCATCTGATCAGAGTCCTCAAAATCAATTCCCCTTTTCCAGCCAGGGTCAGAGGGAAATGTGACTAGGAAAGAAGGGTCAGAGAGATGCAAACTTGTTCTCTCTGAAGATGGAAGAATGTGGGGAGTCAATGCATGTGGGTGGCCAGTGAGTGTGGGTGGCCTCTGGAAGCTGGGAAAGGCGAGGAAATGAATTCTCCCCTACAGCCTCCAAAAAGAACATTGGCCTCCTACCCAACACCTTGATTCTGGACCAATGAAACCTATATCTAACTTCTGACCTACAAAACTGTAACATAATAATAAATGTGTATGCTTTAAATAAGAATAAGAATAAAATGGCCTGTGAACTTCCTAGAAGACAGAGCAAACAGGGAAACGTGTCATTCAATCTGTTGTTTTTGGAAAGGAGAAAGCATATTGACTCTTCGGCTCTGAAAAATAGTTTTGGAAAAATGATAAGGAAAAACATTATGGTGGACTTGAACTTTAGCATTTGGTAAAAAAAAAAAAAAAAAAAAAAAAAGATCCTAGGCTTCTACAAAGAGAACCCAGTGAGGAAAACTCACACTCACAGTGGGGAATGTTACTCATCTGATGCTCACACTAGGCCACCAGCCAGTGAGGTTTTCCCCACCAACCCTTAGCCAAAGGCAAGCAATAGACATGTCAGTCACACCCAGGCACTAATACTGATATCTCAGTTACTAATGTGGAATTATGAACAAAGCAATGAAGAAACACAGTGCAACCCTTGTTCCCATACAGAAGTGTGGTTGTCTTGAGAAGAGCTTTAAGCTCTGGAGCAGGCTGACCTCTGTTCAAAGCCCACCTTCATCACTGCCAGCCTTGGTGTCCTGGGAAGGCAGGATGTGTAAGCCTCAAAACTCTCACGGGTAAAACAGATACAGTCCTTCCGACTCAAAGGGTGCCTGTATGGGTTAAAGAAGATGATGTATAGCCAGGCGTACAAGGTGCTCATCACTGCCTCCCCAGTCTCAATTCTTAAGGCGAGCTCACCTGTCACCCACAGGAGCTGGCTGGACCTACAGAGCAACAGGGGAGAAGTCAGCCATACAGATCCTACTGTCTCCTGCTCGAGGAGGTGAACAGCCTGCCCAAACTCACTTAGCAGATCATAAGCCAGCCTGGCTCAGTGGTGCACTGTGATCCAAGGCTCCCTTCGAACTGCCCACTGGCAGCCGCTGCCCCTTCAACTGCCAGGAGGCACCCCTTCCCTCAGCCCAAAGCCGAGGAGGTGTTTCTGACATGAATGTTCCTACCCGAGTAACTGTCTGGTGTTTCTTCTTTGCAGGGGATGCCCCTTTCTGTACCCCTGAGCAGCACAAGGAGTGTGCAGAGCCTGCCCTAGGTCAGTACTCAGGGGACAGATGGAATCATGGGGGCAGGGGGCCTGAGATTGAGATCGTAGAGATCATCTTGGCATGGGGAAAGATCAAGCAGAAGAAGGAATGGAGAAAGGATAAGAAGAAAGCAGCTGGCAGGGTAGAGTTGCTGCAGGGATGGGAGAGGGAGATGAAGAAGAGGAAGAAGAGAATGTTGGGGAGGAATTGGCGCAAGAGGATGAGGGCTGGAAATGGGACTGGGGGAGAGAAAGGAGGTGTGGAAGCTGGAGATGGAGGAGCAGGTTTCAGGGGAAATGGAGGGTGCTGAAGAATGCAGGGGAGAGGACAGAACAGGAGAGGGGATAGACAGTGGTCAGCCAGGTGGGCACCAGAGGAGCTTGGCAATATCTCCCCTTACACACTCACTCTGGTAGTGTCCACATGGGGAGGCCAAGGTGATTCTGAAGTCCCATCTTTCGTATGTTCCATTGAGCCTGGGGGAGGTGGCGGAGGGCTGGAGAGGTAAGCTCAGGTTTGCATTCTATGTGTGCAAATGGAAAACACAGAGCACGCTCCTTCCTCCTCCCCAAGGGACCTGCTGGGGGTCTGCCAGTTAGAAGAACTCTGCTGGTTCCCCAGCTGGAAAAGTAGGAGAGAAGGAGAGTGCAAGCTGCAGCCCCAAAGCTAGACCCGCTGTGCACGCTCCCACTCTCTGGGCCCAGGGAATGGTTTATAACCAAAACAGGCAGAATTTTTAAACAATGTGCACTCAAGTTTGTTCAGCATCTGCACTTGCTGGAGCCAAGTGGGGCAGTGCTGGCCTCAGGTCCAGATACCTCCAGGAGGACTAGAGAGGGAGGCCGGGCTGAAAGGAGAGGGAGTGGCTTCTGGTGTGTGCAAAGACTCAGCAAAACCCAGGGTAGCCTGAAACACTGAGGGGCAAGAGGAGAAGGGAAGGGAGGTGTTAAAGAAAAAAATCATTCTGACACTATTTAAAATGGTAACGAAGTCTTTACTTAGGGCAATTGCAACAGGTGTCAAGAGTATCACAATGGGGGAAAGGGATGGGGCTCAGCTCAGAATACAGCTAAGACAGCTGGAGATTCACAGCCATCAAGCAGAGCAAGGGGTCAGTAGATGGAAAATTACCCAGAGAAAACATCCATGGTAGGGGGAAATCTTGCTGAAGGCAGGCCAGGGTGATCAGATATCAAGGCTTGGGGGTTCTCTCTAAACTGACTTTAGCAGGATTCTTGCTAAAACCGGGCTGGGCAGGCCCAGCATGGATGGAGGCCAAGGTCAAGGCCTAGTCGAGAACAGGGCGCTGAAGAGCCTGGCTACATTTGATCAGGGAGAAAGTCTTTGTCAGAGGGAAATGGTGCCTTAAATTTTATGTCTAATTGGAAGAAGAGAGGAGAGGGCCAGAAGGGTTCCAGATGCAGGGAGTGGCCTCCAGGGAAAGGAATGAAGGATCTTTGCCTGCATCCTAACCCAGGGGAGGTGGGCACTGGCCATGAGGGAGCCCCAGCAGGGATGGCACAGAGCCCTGGGTTTCAGGTAAAATGGTCTCCCACACTTGCGTTGATGGTGGCCCACTCTGTGGATGAGAATACTGAGGCTAGGAGCCATGGGAAGCTGAGAGCACTAGGATTCTCTTGGAGACCTCTGCAAAAGTGGCGACATTTCAACAATTTTTAAGGAGTGATATGACAGTTAAAGGAAGCAGAAGGAAAACAAGCTCAACGTACAGCAAAAACCCAGCTCCCCACTCTCCACAATCCCTGCCACTCACTTTCCCCGGACTGGCACCCCTTCCCACCTCACTTCTCAGCTGCAAGAATCCAGCTACTCTGGGCCCTTAGAAATCCCAGCCGGGCGCGGTGGCTCAAGCCTGTAATCCCAGCACTTTGGGAGGCCGAGGCGGGTGGATCACGAGGTCGAGAGATCGAGACCATCCTGGTCAACA